CACTGTGCACTAACTCTACCTCTGCACAACACAACTGATGGTCTCAAACACATTAAGAAGGCAAGTAATTCCACACATTGACTCTTGACAAGGCACAGGTGTTAATTGAAAACCATTCCAGGTGTCTACCTCATGAAGCTGACTGAGACAAGCCAAGAGTGTGCAAAGCTGTCATCAAGGCAAAAGGGGGCTACTTTGAAGAATCTAAAATAAAAATCATATTCTTGATTTTTTTTTTTTTGTTTTTTGTTCACTAGATAATTCCATATGTGTTCTTTCATATTTTGATGTCTTCAGTATTAATCTACAAAGTAGAAACAAATTAAAATAAACAAAAACCATTGAATGAGAAAGTGTCCAAACTTTTGACTGGTACTGTATATAAAACACACACATTTTAATATTTAGCAGGTTCCCTCATCGATAATCATTTATACAAGCGCAACCTTGAACATGTGAAGCAGTAAAATGCAACATACGAAATAATCAAGAAACATAAACATGAATTGAACAGGGAACATTTTACTGCACCATCATTACTTTACATAAGAAGGTACCGTAAAATGTTCTGATAATACTTGCATACTTTTACTTAAATAAGGTTTGAATGCAGGATTTTAATTTGTAACAAGAGTATTTTAATTGTATACTGTAGGCGTAGTGTATCTGTGAACGATCCCAAATACAATTCCTTGTTTACATTGCAGCTAGTGCTACGCCAGAAGAAAAAACCCTTTTTCATTTTTAACTGGAAGTGGAAAGGGGCTGGGCTACATAAGGTGAATTGAGACAACACAAATACACAATAGGCGGGACTAAGAAAAATAATGTGAAAATATAAAAACAAAGGCATTAATTAGGGCTGAAAAATGTCTCCCATTTTAATGGCGATTCGATTTTTAAATGCTAACACTTAACAGTTTGTTCTGACTGTGTGATTCCTGTTTCCTGCAGATGTCCAGCTGCTGGTGGTGGTTAAAGAAGAGCTTCTCCCTGACCAGCAGGAGTGTAGCACCAGTCTGGACCAGGAGGACCCAGAGCCCCCCCCACACTTTAAGCAGGAACAGGAGGAACTCAGGATCAGTCAGGAGGGAGAGCAGCTTCAGGAGCTGGAGGAGGCTGATATCACCAAGTCCACTTTCACTCCTGACCCTATGAAGAGTGAAGATGATAAAGAGAAACCTCAGTCCTCACAGCCTCATCAAAGACAAACTGAACACATGGAAACAGAAGCTGATGGAGATGACTGTCGAGGACCTGAACCAGCCAGGAACTCAGATCCAGAGAGCAGTTTACAACCAAAGACTGAGGATGACACTGAAGACTCTTCTGAACCTGACACTGAAGGCTCTTCTAAACCTGACACTGGAGACTCTTCTGAACCTGACACTGAAGACAGTGCTGATTGGAAAGAGACCAGAGAACCTGCATCAGGCTCAAATTCACTGAAAAATAGACATGAATCTGTCAGTGATCCACGACGTAGTAATGAAAATAAACTATTCAGCTGCTCACTTTGTACCAAATATTTTGCACGGAGTGGAAATTTAAAAAAACACATGAGAGTCCACACAGGAGAGAAACCATTCACCTGCTCAGTCTGTAAGAAAGCTTTTTCACAGAGTGGAGGTGTAAAGGCACACATGAGAATCCACACAGGAGAGAAACCATTCACCTGTACAGTCTGTAAGAAAGCTTTTTCACAGAATGATCGTTTAAAGTATTTATTTACTGTGAGAAAACCTTTTCAAAGTGACTATATTGTACATTTAAGAAGATGTTTAGAAACGGTGTTCTTCAGTATTTTTGGTTCGAGGAATATTTAAATGATTGCCATAGAGGAGAGAGAATGGAGATAGCAGCAAAGTATTGTTCTGTCTTTTTTTCTTGCTGTGACTTCAGTGCAGTTGGGTGTTTTTAGGCTGTTCCACTGTAACTGTAATTAAAGAATTGTCTCTAGAAATGATATGTTTAGGACTGGTGTCTCAGCCAGTGGCGTAACTATCGACGGTGCAGCCGTTTATATATAAATGTATATATATAATCTTTTTTTTTAATATATATTTTATTTTGGGGCCCCAATGGCATTGACTGGTTCACGCTGTCTTCAAAGTAACCTAGCAACCTAAATGTATTTTTAATTTGTCTGTCCAATGACCTTGCTCCCTTTCATGTCATGTGATACCTTGCGTGACGAGCGAACCGTTTAATCAACATCAAAAGTTATATGTACTACACAGCTATAGCAGCAGCAAGATCGGCAGAATTATAACAAATTGAATAGCTTGCATTTATAATGTACAGCAAACCAAATCACAAGAGCGGCGCTCAAAAGAGAAAGGACAAGAGAGAACAAGGAGATGTAAAGGCTAAACAGACAAAATTAGACAGTTTTTTTTGTCATACTTCGTCCTCGAAATCGAACGCTAACGTTGGTAATGTTGACGTGCAGCGGCAGCCGGAGGCTAACGATAGCTCACCTGCCTCACCATCATCTAGCTCCACAAGTGAAGCTGTATCCGTGGCTGTGCGACCTTCTTCTCCAGCCATTAGCCAGGAGGAGAGGATGGATTTGGCTGTGCCCGGCGGTGGTCCTACAGTTCCCGCAAGGGCCCCTTCCCCAACCGATAGGGGACTCTATGGCGCTATTGAGACCCACGACGCCAAGATCAAAGGCTATATTATAGCAACCGGTCCATGTAGGCCTATCGGCCCATTCTCCATGGATGTGGACACACATCAAGGAAACAGGTGTTTCTCCGAGATGTATTACACCACCACTACCAGAGCAGGTATCAAACTGCCACGGACATGGCTGTGTTACTCCCCCACCCTGGACTGTGCCTATTGTGAGCCGTGCTGGCTGTTCGCAGACCGAGGTGCACCGTTCTACAGTGATGCGTGGACATGCGTTGTCTGCGAGGATTGACTCACATGCACAATCTCAGGTCCATGTCGGAGCGTGTGTGTCATATATGAACAGTGGAAGAAAAACGGGAGAATCGATGCAAACATGGAGAGGAATGCAAGGAATTCTGCTAATTACTGGAGACAGGTACTTGAGCGTATTGTCAACATTACAATCACTCTGGCCACTTGTAACTTGGCTTTTAGAAGACATGGGGAGATTCTTGGACAGCCCAACAGTGGAAACTAGCAACGCTGAGTTGGGGGGGGGCCCAAAAAAATATTTGCACTGGGGCCAATCACAACCTTGTTACGCCACTGGTCTCAGCATTTATAGATATGTTCTATTTCTATTTTGAAGGTAATTTCCCTGCAGCTCTGTACTGCCATTTCTCTCTCTGGTGTCACAACTGTCCACTAGAGAGCGCTGCAGCTCCTGATTTAACTCTGATGCTGCTGAAAGCTTTCTTACTGCTGTTGAATACATTCCAGTAAGTTCAAAAATATTATTAATGCCACTATTCAAAAAGATCTGTTTGTTTTATTGCAGCCGTTATGCCATTTTAAATCAACACAGTGCCCTCTTCTTAAGGATTGAACGTCCCACATGCTGTTTTCCTTTGTGGACATTTTATTTTGTGCTTATCTTGAGAAGCTGTTTGATTTCAGTATATTATTCTTAAAACTGTGCAATGGTTTTTGTTGACATTGTGTCTAGAGAAAATAACTTGTACTCTTTGATGCTAAAATGTGCTTTGCCTTAGTTTCAAGAAAATTAAAGGTATAAAAAAAAAAACAGTGTGTGTGACGGGCTTCTTCCCTCTTAGTCTTCTTCTCCATTTATAAATAGATATCACGTCCACTTCCTACTGTCCTTCCTACATGACACCTACTGAACAATTTCATAACAGCTGTTTATATCCTAAAGCAGTGGTGGTGGATAGTAACTAATTACATTTACTCAGTTACTAAACAATTTTTAGGTAATTTACTTGAGTATTTACTTTTCCTGCTACTTTATACTTATAATCAAATAAATGTTCATGTATAACTATAGAGCGGTATTGGCCCCTATGATAAATGTACGAGCTATACCCTGCAGTATACAAAGGTAGACTTGCTTCCTATCTATCAGAGGCAACATTTGAGCATGAATGGATTGTGATTTCTGATTTAAAAATGTAACATACATTATTCTGAATATTACGTTTTTCAGGTACTTTTACTTTTGCAAATAAGTAGCATTTGACGACTTAAGGGCAAAGTATTCTGCACTTCAACTTAAATAAAAATAGTAATACCACGGTGTGTAGAAATAATCAACACAATACAAATACGTCCATCATTTAAATTTGATAAACACATTAATGCATCAATGATTATAATCAAAATATATCTATTATATATATATTATTCTGAAATGGGTCGATCTGCATATTGAGTACTTTTACTTTTGGAACTTTAATTATATTTGGATGCCAATACTTGTGTACTTTGACTTCAGTAACATCTTTAATGCAGGACTTTTACTGTAACAGACTATTCCTACAGATCTGATTCCTTCTACTTTTACTTAAGTACAAGGTCTGAGCAATTCTACTTTTAATCAAGTACAAGATCTGAATACTTCTAATTTTACTCAAGTACAAGACCTGAGTACTTCTACTTTTACTCAAGTACAAGGTCTGAGTACTTCTACTTTTACTCAAGTACAAGATCTGAGTACTTATTCCACCTCTGCAGCTTACAATAAGTCAATCAACCATGAGGATGCAAACTCCGAACAGCACGAATGCTGCAAGAAAATTAGCTTCAGATAAACCAAACATTTGTAGCCTAATTGCTATACAGATATTTGATTTGTGTACTGCGACCTGTTTAGCTTAATGATGTTTATTTATTTTCCCTTTTTCCTTTATGATTATTTTCTGTTTGTTATATAAGTTATACGTTGTTTTTGGAAAGAGTGGTTTTATTATTGATTCAGTAGTAGGTGTTAAGGCAACGTCCCGAAGCCAATCGTTCTTAAAACCAAAAAGAAGAAATCCTTCCCGCTTTTATTTTGACGTCATCAAACCGCACCGGAAGTGAGGTTCCCAGCTCTTTCTAACCTGGATCGAGGTGGCGTCTCGTCGCTACGGTTCTCTCTCTCTGTGTTCCTGAGAAAGTGTGTGTGAGCTCCAGCACTACTGATCCATCATCTGTGTGTTTGGATAAACCTCTGAATGGACTGTGTGCTCTTTTTTCTGGAGCGTTTACCTCGGACTATAGGAGCTAGCTTAGCATGCTAGCTGGAAACAAGTTAGCAACACTAGTCAGATTGAGAGTTTGATGGACAGAGAAACGGTTTGTTTAACAGAGTTTGCAGGAAAAGGTGATCTAGTAAACATGAGTAAAGTCCAAATGCTGCTGTCGTTGAAGAAGCAGCGACTCACTGCTGCTGTTGAAGATATATTTGCTCTGTTTGAAAAAACGATAGCAGAGTACGAGGAGGAGCGGTCTCTTTCCAAAGAGGAGATCAAGAGACTCCAGAAACGACTGGACGCTGTTTTACAGCCTCAGCTTCGGATACACAGAGCAGGTCTGTTCCCTTTACCCTTAATTAACACTCTAAACTCTTCAGTAGCACTTTATTATCACATTAAAAACACTTTAGATCCTTTATCAGCACTTGCTGCAGGTAGTACATCCTGAAGTAAAAGTACAAACACCACACTGTGAAAATTAATCAATGTTTATTTATATAGCCCAATATCACACATGTTACATTTGTCTCAGTGGACTTCACAGTTTGTACAGAATATCAGTATGACAATACGACACCCTCTGTCCTTAGACCCTCACATCGTAAGTTTAAAGGGAAAAATGGGAGAAACCTCAGGGAGAGCAACAGAGGAGGGATCCCTCTCCCAGGACGGACAGACGTGCAATAGCTGCCGAGTGTAAATTGAAAAGATAATACATTTGCAAAACACTCCATTACAAGTTAAAGTACTGCATGCATTCATATCTTATTTAAGTAAAATTATGTAAGTAGTATTAGTAGTGCTGTCAAAGTTAACGCGTTAATTTTGGCGATTAATTTTAAACATTTAATGCATACAAATTTGTTAACGCAATTAACATGGTTTTGTTTACTTCCGGTGGCGGCTGACTGCTTCTGGTGGCGGCTGACCCATAACCTTTGGTCACTTGCGCGGGCAAACATCTATCCTAACTAAAGGAGAGTCTATGGCAGAAAGATGGATAAGGGCGGACTTTTAGGGGGAAAGTTTCATTTTCAAAAGTTGCCCGACGGCTCGTTGGACAAAACCAAGGCAATTTGCACAGTTTGCAAAGCCAAATTTAATTCCCACAGAAGTAGCACGTCTTTAGCGTATCACCTCAAAGCAAAACACCCTGCTGTCAACAACGATAATTATTTGGGCGTCACAGCGCATTTCATTGATCAAGACTGGAATCTGCAGTCGTTTGCACTTACTGTGAGTAAAACCGAGGAGTGACATTATGCCGAGGCATGTGCTAACCATTTTCTGGATGTTGCAAACGAATGGGAAATCAAGGAAAAGTTGACCGCACTCGTAACATGGTAGCTGCCGCGAGTCTACTTCCATTTGAACACCTGCCTTGCATGGCCCACAGTCTGCAAAGAACGGTCACAGTCTCACTTAAAAACAGTGGATTTGAAAGTGTTCTGGCCAAATGTCGCAAGATTGTCGGGCACTTTAAACATTGTCCATCTAACGCTCAGGAATTAAACGAAGAGCAAGTTGCACACAGACTTAAGCAAGAATCACTTGCTCAGGACGTTGCAACAAGATGGAATTCTACGCTGGAGATGGTAAAGAGGATGCAGAGAAACAAATCTCCACTGACCACTACCCTGGCGCAGCAAAAGACCAAGGTTGCCATGGTGACTGACCCGGAGCTTACCAAACTGCAAAAGCTGGAGGAACTACTTGAACCTTGCAAGTAAGTTATTTATTTCTTGTTTCTCCTCCCTCTCTTTCTCCCTATCTCCTGTGTACAGTATATGTGTACCGTTTTCTCTCCCTCCCTCTCTCTCCATCTCGTGTGTGTGTATGTTGTTTTCTCTCTCTCCCTCTCTCTTTCACCTGTGTGTGTATGCTTCTCTCACTCACACCTGTGTGTGTGTGCGTGCACTGGTTCTCTGTGTTGTTAATAAAGATTTACTGAAATGTTTAACACCTTGTGCTTTCCATTGCAGATATGTGACTGAACTGCTGGGGGAGAGCAGTATGTCTCCTGTTCAGTGGTCTTGCCAGCCTTACGCCACTTGTGCAGAGTTATGGAGCCCTCAGGTGATGATCCAGTTTATGTTCTGAGGTTCAAGAAGGCCTTTACCACAGACCTAGCTCAACGGAAGGATAGCACCAACCTCAAATGGCTGAAGATCACTACTTCCCTTGACCCTAGGTTTAAAGACCTTAAGTGCCTTACAAAAGATGAAAGGAGTGAGGTGTGGGCTTCAGTACGCGACCTGATGATGAGAGAGACACGTGCACATCAACCACCTGCTGAGACAACAGAGGAGCCGTCACCAAAGAAGAGGAGGAGGATGTCCATCTTGCTGTGTTCTTCTGATTCAGATACAGATGACAAGGAGGAGTCCATAGAGCATTGTCTGGATCGCTACAAAGCAGAGCCAAAAATGGACATAGAGGGGTGTCCACTACAATGGTGGTCAAAGAGAGAGGGAGCACATGCCAGGCTGGCACCCATTGCACGCAAGTACCTGTCAACCCCTGCAACCACAGTGCCTTGTGAGAGGTTGTTCTCACTCTCAGGCCACATCGTACAAAAGAAGCGAGCTTCTTTGTCCCCTCATAACGTAAACAAACTGGTATGCCTCAGTAACTGGCTGAATGTAAAGAAGGACAAAAGTAAATCATGTCTATGGAGTGAAAAATGTTCAATGTTCTGAATTATTTTTTGTATTTGCACTGAGCATATGTGCACCTTAAGCCATTAAAATGGTCTTTGAATTTAAATATACTTTCTCTGTGTTTATTCTACATTAATTTGATGATTTTACATAACTAAATATTCATTATAAGCTTCAGTCTTAAGTAGAAAAATGCAATTAATTTATTGATAGATTAATCGCGATTAATTACAGAAATTTGTGCGATTAATTAGTTAATTTTTTTTGTATCTATTGACAGCCCTAATTATTAGACACATGTACTTTATTATAATAATTAAAATGTATTTCGGTAGAGCAAACCTACCGAAATAAATATATTTATAAAAATACATACATTGAATAATATGCCATTTAATTTACTGATTTAAATATTACCCATACATGTAGGCACTAGTTGGTTAAATGTGACATACTTGATACTTTAGTTTTTTAATGTGCTTCTTTATTCACCTTTTATTTTTAAATGTGTAAAAGAAAAGAAAAACAAACACTTTGGATTAATTCAAATTGCGGGAGAATAATTCATAAAGAAATCAATTAATAAATATGTTCAATAATAAATTAAACACATCTAAAATGTTACTTGATAAAGAATAGGGGAACTAGTACAAAGGTCATTAAAAAACATTAATGTAAAATCTCATCAATGAATTATTGCCAACATGTATTTATAATATATTCTGTATATGTATGTATGCATGTATGTATATATATATTCACAGAATATATATTTTGAGAGAGATATACACTAGTATTAGACGCAGTCAAACGTTTGGACACATCTTCTCATTCAAAGATTTTTATTTATTTAAATTGGTTCTACTTTTTAGATTTATACTGAAGACATCAAAACAATAAAAGAACACATCGACTAGAATGATCTAGTAAACAAAAAAGTGTTAAAAAATCCAGAATATGATTTATATTTAGCTGGCTACTGCAGAAGGCTGTGGTAGCCATGCTGGTTAAGGGTGCCTTGAATTCTGAATAAATCACCAACAGTGACACCAGCAAAGCCCCCCACCACCATCTCACCTCCTCCTCCATGCTTCACGGTGGGATCCACTCATGCAGAAACCATCCGCTGACCTTCTCTGCGTCTCACAGAGACACGGAGGCTGGAACCAAAAATCTCTAATTTGGCCCCATCAGACCAAAGTACAGATTTCACTGGTCTAATGTCCAATCCTTGTGTTTCTTGGCCCAAACAATTCTCTTCTTCTTGATGTTCATCCTCAGTAGTGGATCTTTGCAGCAATTGGACCATGAAGGCCTAATTCATACTTTGTCCTCTAATGGCGCGTTTCCACTGCAGCGGGTAGCCCCGTTTAAGCGTCCTTAACCGTCCTCAAGCGGCCAGGCCGGTTTTTGGTGGCGTTTCCATATAGCCTAGTACCGGCCAGCGGGTACTTTTTCCCTCTTTTTCCGGCCTCATAAAATCGTGGTTCCCTCAGGCCAGGGCTGAACTAGTGACGTCAACACTCTCGACTGCTGATTGGTCAGAGAGAATCGTCACAAGATCGCGCGCGAGTTCATCCCTAGCGTCGCATATATATATCTAGAAGCAAGCTTGCAGCATTTTTATAAACATCATTTTGTAAACGGATGAGCTACAAAAATGGCTACGTCTAATAAGAAAAGCACACCGTGGTCGACCGAGGAGGTGACGACGTTCCTACATCTCATTGGGGATGATCAAATCCAGCTCGACGGAACAACTCGAAATGTGAACAAAAACAAAGCCGATCGCCTACACTGCGTTGCTACCCCAGGTCCTAAACTGTAATGGAAATGCGCCACGGCCTGGGCCGGCCAGCGAGGCAACCCGAGGCCAGAGCGAGGACGCTTAGGGACGCTTAAACGGGGCTACCCCGCTGCAGTGGAAACGCGCCATAACAGTGCATGTTAAAGGTCCCATGTCATGCTTTTCCTGTTATTACCTGTCCCCAGGGTTGGGTTGTAACGGAATACATGTAACAGCATTACGTAATCAGAATACAAAAATCAAGTAACTGTATTCAGCTCGCGTTACATTTGAAAAACGAGTAATCTGATTACAGTTACTTTCGTAAACCTGAAGTGAATACATTTTGGATTACTTATTGGAATTATTGGTGGAAAGATTTCCTCACAACATTTAATATTCATTACTAAAGGTACAGCCGAATCATCGCAGCGCACAAAACCTATTACCGCCGCAGATGGACCAAAAAAAGGGAGCGTTTGAAAAAAATTCGCGGGTCCGCTCAGTGAAACAATAACAGCGAAACATGGAGGAACACAAGTCTGCGTTTAAATCGTGTGTGTGTGGTTAAAACACATCAGCCTGCGGTTGCGCTTTAGCCTTTCTAATGATTCTGAAGGTAAACACAGTGAAGGCGGTGCGTGAAAGGCACAGCGCGCTCCTCTTCTCAGAGGCTGAGTTAACCCTCCCGCTGCCTCCTGGTGCTGCAGAGATTTCATGAAGTGAAGGAGGTTTTCCTTCTATAAAACAGCTGTGGGCAGCAGATACTGTGAGTGTCACAGACATGAATTCATAGATCAAGGCAGACTGGTGCACACACTCTCCTGTTTTGCCAATCCGGTGCTTAAACAAATATAGCTCTAAACCCCTGGCCGAAATGTCCTTAAAA